TTTCTTGTTGTCGATACTGAAGAAGCATGGACTATTGGAACATGTGATCGTGTTTGGGTTGCTAAACATATTAAAGGTAAAAAAATTGATCTATTTTTAATACAAATTAATCGAGATATTTTATGTGTTTTTTGTTTTGTTTTAATTATATAGAAGGACATTATAACATGTCCAATGTATATTCTATTGAAGATGATTATAATCTTCAATCGAATAATTTAGAAGAATTTGCTAAAGAAAAAAATTTATGGGATGGAAAAGATAAATTAAATTTTGCTCAAGTATTTCAAGGTCCATCACGATCTACCGATGCACGATTAAAAGCTGGTCGTGAATTACTTGAAAATTTAACTAAAAATGGTAATTTTTCAATTTTTGATATGATATCTATTTTACGTGATGATCAAGCTGGCATTTGTGTATTTGATCAAGTTCGAGGTGTACGTACAACAAGTTCTCAAGTGTCTGTTTTAACACCAAATAAAAAATTTCAAATAGATGCTTGTCATTTTTTAACTGGAACACCAAATCCAAAACAATCATTATTTAAACCATTTATTTTTTCAAATAATGTTCAATTAGGTCCATTGACTGTTTCATCACCTGAAGAAGTAGTATCCCAACGTATTCATCCATTATATGCAGCACATCAGAAAGCTAAATGGGAAAATGTCGATCATAAACGTTTACAAGATTTTGAACATGAAGGAATTATGGAAATTATTAATAAACTTAAATCATTCGAAGATAATAATGTTGATACTTATGAAACATTGTTTTATGATACAGTATCAGCAGAAATAGAATTGTTACGAGAACATCCATGTACGAAACGCTCTTAAATTTTCACTAATTCACTTAATCTTACACACATTAATCGTGCAATATTTTTAACTTAGTCTTTTTAACGCTCTATATTGTATTTGTATTTCATAGTATTTCAATACGTATATACATATATATGCTTATTATTTCGGATGCATGTAGTCTCTTACATGAAATATATATTAAGTTATTTGCAATACTATTCTATTAATAAACTATTCAGATCTTATGTAACGAGTAACAATTTCGGTTTGTCTTATTCATGGTTGTACAAAGATAACTTCAATCATTACCAAAGATTGAAATTATCTATCTAAGACTTTTAGTATGAGAAATAATGAACATCATGTAAATCAAAATACTTAATTTCATTTTTTTCTAAATTTGTTAACAAACACTAAATAGAATCAGTAAGTACGAATATATTTCAATGATAGTATGAATGGTTATTTTTCTTTGTGCGTATTAATAAAGACCAATATGAGTTAATAAGTCGCTCTATAGTGTTCTTCTTTAGGTGCTAGGACAATTCGTCGCAGGTGTATGGATGTGGGTGTCAGTGTAAGTGTGGATCTTTATTGCACCTATACTCAGGCACTTATATCCACACACACCCAGATACCTATATCTACAGTAATATCCACATCCACATTCATTCCCTACGCCCGTATACACGATTGAAAAATTAAACTATTCAATTCTGTAGTCAATTCATATCGATTTTTTCCTGACAATGATATGTAAATAAAAGCTATTGTATATGTTTGTCTTTTAAATGTTTGCATTTTAACACTCCTTGAAAACTAGTGTCATTGCCGATATCAGAAAGATGTCCAAATTTTCCGTCTGATTTTCTTCCAATATCTTATTTTTAGATATATCTAGCAGAGAAGTTGCAAGAATACTGCAAGTTCTTAAAAACATTCTAATATGAAGAGCATAGTTCTCTCGTCAAATTTTTCTTTGTATTTTCTCCAAATAACATTAAATGTAGAGAGTAAAGCTCGAATTACTTCAAACCACTTTAATAGTAACAATCGTCAGTTTGATCTCAGTAAGAGACCTGAAAACATGCTCTTTTTTGTTATTATTGCATTAGTACATGATAGAGCTTTTCTGCAATGCCGACTGAAATATGTCATTCTCTCGAGAAAAAAGATGGTACGAGGATTCAATAGTTTATGGTTTACAAAAGACTATTGATTCGATCTGAAATTCGCTCAGCATTCTTTTTTTTTCTGTCAGAGAAATCATATATTTTTACATAAAAAGGAAAAGGTCACAATATCGATGAGTAAAAGAAGAATGTTTTTTTTAATTCTTTCTAAATGGCACTCCGAAAAAGGATGAGTTTTTATTGTTGAAGTAATGCTAGAAACATCTGAGGATTGTCTTTAGAGAAGTTTTCCGATGATCATATATTACCAGTAAATATAAAGAAGACTAAAGCAATGTTAATACATAGCGCTGTAAATGCCGAAAAACCTAA